CTTCAACTTGCTAAGGCTGACATCAACTTACCTGGTCTCAGTTACCCTGACACCTCTCATGGCATCAAATCTATTGTTCTCAAAGTACCATATGGAATTCATGAAAGATGGGCAGTGCTTGGATCAAAGTATAAGGAAGAATATAGAGTTGCCTTTCCTCTTTTTTCCTACTTCTGCGAATTCATTAAAATAATTGCAAACACTAAGAATGACCCAAGTTTCTCCTATGGGGACTGTAACCCTCTCAGTACACTCTCTCCAAGACCTACAAACACACGTATGTCGCACAGAGACCATAGAGGTCTAGTGTTAGTGAAAAGGACTAATGTTCTACCTGCGTCCTGCTATAGTTCTTGAAAAGACTGATCAAAACAAGAAAATTGAGGACCAAAATTTGCCAATGTCCAATACGTAACAAACCACATCCACTTAAGAAATGTATTGGCTTCAGAAAGAAAAGCCACCAAGAACGTAAGAAACTTTTGAAGAAATTTGGGGTTTGCTGCAAATGCTGTGCCTCCACAGAACACTTTGCAAAGGACTGTAAAGCAATCATCAAATGTATAGAGTGTGACAGCGATGACCATGTGCAAGCTCTTCATCAATATTCACACAACTCTACAACACTCACAAACAATCTTCCTGAGGCAAAGTAAGGTGGGGAGCGCCCAGATCAAGCAGCACCTACCACCCCAGTGTTATCTACATGTACAGAGGTCTGTGGAGAAGGATTCTACGACATATCCTGTGCAAAGATATGCTTGGTACATGTATACCCCAAAGGTCAACCTGAAAAGGCCATAAGACTGTATAATATTCTGGATGATCAGAGTAACAGATCTCTTGCAAGAACATAGTTTTTTGAACTGTTGAACATAACTGGAGATGCTCTGCCTTATACTCTAAGTACTTGTTCCGGTACTACAGAAGTCTTAGGTAGGAGAGCCAGTGGTCTTGTAGTTGCTCCTCTGAATGACAATGTGGAAATATATTTGACCACTATCACTGAGTGCAACCAGATTCCAAACACCAAAGAGGAGATCCCTACTCCTGAAGCTGCCTTTCACCATTCTCACTTAAAGCACATAGCCAACCAAATACCAGCCCTCAACGAAAGTGCCGATATCCTGCTGTTACTCGGTCGAGACATTCTAAGGGAGCACAAAGTTCGCCATCAAATCAACGGTCCACACAATGCACCATATGCTCAGCGTCTGGATCTATGATGGGTCATCATAGGCAATGTCTGCCTAGACAAGGACAGAATGTCCTACTTAGTCTCTTCCTTTAAAACACGTCCTGTTAAATGGATGAACAACTTGTTCTGCACAATGACCACATAATATATCGTGAAAGAAAGACTGTTTGAAAAAGGTGCACAACGGCACATCATACAAGACAACAAGAAAGCTCTTAATCTTTGGGATGACAACATCGGTAACACAGTGTTCTAGGTAACCACTAAAGACAATGAGTTGGCAGTTACTTTAGAAGACAAAGAATTCTTGAAAACCATGAGTAACGAGTTCTACCAAGATGATTCCAACAGTTGGGTAGCACCTCTACAATTTTGTACCCCAAGAAAGAGACTACCAAACAACAGGGTACACACAGAATCACGGTTTGTTTCTTTAAATCTCAGTTTGAACCTGAAGCCTGAGATGAAAAAGCACTTTGTGGACTTTATGCAGAAAATGTTTGAGAGAGATCATGCTGAGCCTGCACCTCCTCTTACGGAAGGAGAAGAATGTTGGTACCTACCATGCTTTGGTGTCTACCATCCTCGCAAGCCTGATCAGATTAGGGTGGTGTTTGACTCAAGTGCTCGTCATGAAGGCATCTCCCTCAATGACAATCTTTTCACTGGGCCTAATCTGAACAACAATCTTATAGGAGTATTACTTTGCTTCAGACAAGAACCAATTGCTGTTATGGCTGACATTCAGCAGATGTTCCACTGTTTCATCGTCCGTGAAGACTACAGAAACTTCCTCAGGTTCTGATGGTACCACAATAATGATGTCAATTATGAAGTCATAGACTACTGAACAAAGGTACATGTTTTCAGTAACAGTTCTTCTCCTGCAGTAGCAATTTATGGACTGGGGAAAACAGCTCAAGAGGGTGAGAAAGAATTTGGATCTGATGCAAGACAGGTCGTCGAAAGGAATTTCTATGTAGATGATGGACTCAGGTCTCTGCCCAAGGAAGAAGAAGCTATTGACCTTCTTAATAGAACCCACAACATGCTTGCCACTGCAAACCTCAGATTTCACAAAATTATCTCTAATAGCAACAAGGTCATGATAGCTTTTCCTTCTGATGACCATGCTGTCAGTGTGAAAAAATTCCAACTAGGATCTGATCTGTCTTACACAACGCAGTCTTGGATTGCTTTGGAATGTTAAACAAGACACATTCACATTTCAAGCATCAGCCTGTGACAAGCCCTTCACAAAGCGAGGACTTTTGTCTACAGTGAACAGCATTTATGATCCCTTAGGTTTCATTACACCTCTCACTATTCAGGGTAAGATACTGCTGAGACAACTTACTTCTGAAAGCTCAGACTGGGATACCCCCTTACCAAAGGAGAAACAACAAAGGTGGGAATCCTGGAAACAGTCTCTAAAAGCATTAGAACTGCTCCAGATACCACGCTCTTACACCCAAGCATCCTTAAAGAATGCCACCAGAAGAGAGATTCATCATTTAATAAAATCTATATATTTTAACATATTTTTATTATTATTACCTCTCCCTAATTAGGGAGCCCTGAAATTCAGTGATATGGTAATCACCGACTCACCATTATTTATGGTGGGGTCCTCATGAAACATAATACACACTAACAAACAGTAGAGGGCACAGAATTCCCCCAGAGAACAGTAGTTTAAAAGAGAACCAACAGCGGTGTAAATAAAACCAATAGCTTTATTATATTTCACAAAAAAATTGGTAATACACCTATTAGGTCAAAGGATCCTCCATACACATCAATAAAATGGATAATGTTATCACCTTTAAAATGGCCCAGGCCACACATACCGTGAATATAACATAATACTACTACCTTCCGTCTTAAATGAGCATTATTCAAGGGTCAATAAACCAGAGTCTCACATAGTGGATTAACCACTCTGGCCAACAATGCAGGATCCAAGACTCTGGGAAATACACTCTCCAACCAGGACAAGGTCCACCATGGATGGATGGCACTTGTAAATGAACAAAAATTGGGGCAGAGAAGCTCACTGAGTTTGCCCGATATATACCACCAAACTGGCAATTCACATCCCATAGGGAATAGCAGCCACAAAAAATTATTGTTAATATTAAGCACATTAGTATGCTATCTCACAGTTGAATACTACATAGTATGCGACTTAATGGTCTGTTCATCCAGTAAATCCACTTCATCTACCGTAATCACAGATTTATTGAGAAAAATTGAGCATCCAGCTTCAATAGACATCAGTAGGTAACAATGTCAATATTATATGATGGAAGAATGAGGGCTGATGCCCCTTTAAACTGATCACAGGTATAAGTGATTTGATTATCTCCAAATCACTATGCTGACATAGATGACATTGATTTCCCATTTGAAATGGAGGCTAATAGCCTTGTAATGATGAAAATAGAAGATTGATAACTCCAAGGTAGTGAGACCAGTTCAGTCCCAGTTGTATAAATCTCATAGGTATTCAATTGAAATAAAGGCTTAACAGTCTGATATTAAAAGGTTGAAGAGTGAATGATCTTTTGACCTATCCGATGTTCATTGTTGTAAGATTCTCTCAGTTTATGGAATAAACTTCACAAGATCTACAAGGTGTCATCTGGATCGAGTTACTGCCTATGTTATTCAACTAAGATTGTAGTTATCGCTATCTAATCACAACTGTAAGTTACAGAGATCACACTTTCAATGCTTAGATTGGAGAGACAGAACATACTTTGTGTGGTCTTTAAGGCCTCATGCACATTGGGCATAAAAATTGCTACTTAAAAAGGCATTTGGCATTTTTTTCTTTCAGCTTGAAGAAGCAACTCTGTTAGTCTAGGTGTCCATGCACATTTGGGCTTTTACAGGCATATTTGTAGAGGAGTGTTTACAAGCTGAAATAAAACCCATCATCATCAAAAGTGCATTTTTGAGAGGAGCTTTCAAGCAGAAAAAATGCTTGATGCACTTAAATGCAGTGTTTAGGCTTCTTCCAAGCGTATATTTTTCTAGTGTTTTAGGAAAAATGCTTATAAACACAAATGTGGGTACAATATGCTCCATACAGTATGAGTTTTTTTTTCTGCTGCTTTTTTTCTGCCAGCACTTCTGGCATTTGTTCTGCTGTCTAGTGTGCATGAACCCTTTATAGTGGTTGTGTTGGCTGATGGTATTTTAGCTAGTACTTATCTGAGCCCGTTCCTGATCCAGCGATGTGCACGAGAGTGGCTGCTCACATTCAGTGAGGAGTAAGCAGGGAGGCAGGGCAAAGCCCAGCTGTCTGTGTCTATGGGCACAGTCAGAAGGGCTTGGGAGCGAGTCGAGTAGCCCCCTAGCAAGTGGCTTGCTGGAGGGGTACTCGAAGGGGGGAGGAGCCAGGTGCACATGCGAGGGACCCAAGAAGAGGAGGATCGGGGCTGCCCAAGGCAAAATCATTGCATAGAGCAGGTAAATATAACGTTTGTTATTTTTTAAAAAATTGAGCCTTTAGTATCACTTTAAATGTATATAAATCCAAAATCTACAAACGGGAAGTGAGAGGAAATCCATCCAGAGTGAGTTGTCACCAGAACTAATGTCCCCATTGGAATATATTCCCACAATCCTGTTCTGGGGACATCCCAAAATTTGGGATTTACATTTGCTTTCACTTTCAGTGATAATAGTAAATAGGACTAATAGAGAGGGTGAATCTCCCTAACAGGGGCACAGAAAACAATGAAAACTTAACTGGTGTTCTAATACCTGTACACTCTATCCAAAACTTGAAAAAGTTTTGCCTTTTGATATACTTTAACCACCTGCCGCCCACCCACAGTACACTGTGCGTGTGGGCTGCAACTCCAGGCTAAGCTACGTACTGGTACATCGCTCAGCACATATGCATTGGCACGTCCCCTGGAGTGCGCAGTGGCGTGAGCTCGTGACCGCTGTGTCTGATCACAGTGTTCTGTATGACCAATCATGGCGATCACATGATTACATGTAAGCAAACCTGTCATGAAGGGCTTCCATTCATGACAGCTTGCTTAGTATTGTGATGCTGTGTTTGGCCCACAGCTATCACATGGTACCTAGCACCCTGTACCATGTGATTAGCTGTAGCCAATCACAGTAGTAAGCAAGCTGTTATGAAAGAAAACCTTCCATGACAGTTAAAACTATTGCTTATAACAGTGATTGTCAGAGTTATAAGCAATAACACTGTTAAACAAAAAACCTGATCACCCCCCTCCCCCTTCCCTGAGTAGTACAGTCCCTGTGGTGACACTGAACTACTTTGATGACAGTATGTAAAAAACAAATTGTAAAGAAAAAGGAAAAAAAGGTTAAAAAGTTTAAAAATTGAATGAAACAATATTTTTTTTTTCATTTTTCAAAAAATTGCAAACACAAAACTACAACTTCATAAAATTCACCATACCTCTTACTAATTACCTTAGATGATCTATTTGTACTGTTCTGGAATTTTAGGGCCTCAAGAAACGAGACATGTTGTACATCAGCATTGATCAATTTTCAATGATACGTACCATAGTTTGTAGCAGGGACGGACTGACCATTCGAGAACTCGGGCACTGCACGAGGGCCCGGGGTCAGTAGGGGGCCCGTGAGATGCCCCTGGTACCTTTCATATGCTTTTTTGGGTGTGGTTTGAGTGTGGGCAGTCTCTCTAACTTTCACACAGACTAAATTATATACACTGATTTTGGTTATTTTCAGCAAAGACATGTAGCAGAATACATTTTGGCCTAAATTTATGAAGAAAGATTATTTATTTGGAAACTTTTCTAACAGAACCAAAGAAAAATGATTTTTTTTTTCAAAATTTTCAGTATATTTTTATTTATATAGAAAAAAATAAAAAACCCTGGGGTGATCTAATACCACCAAAAGAAAGCTCTACTTTTGGGAAAAAAATAATATAAATTTCATTTGTGTACAGTGTTGCATGAACACGCACTTATCATTCAAAGTGCAACAGGGGGTGAAAGTGCCCGGTATTGAAGTGGTTAAAGTAGAACAGTGCTGAATAACAAAAAACTGCTCTGGTCATGAAGGGACTAAAACCTTCCAGAAGTTAAGTGCTTAAAGCAGAACTTCACTCTCTCGATCATCATTGGGTATTTTTAAACCTTATGCTGCTAGCATTAATAAAGAGATAGGAAAGTATCATATTCACTTGTTTTACATTTTTTTTTACATTTCTTCAGTTACTTCCTGGTTTCCATGCCTAGGCAAATGATGGCATACATCCCAGGAGTGTTCAGGAGAGGAGGAGAGGTTTTCTCAGCTAAGCACACCCTCCTGTCTGCATACCTGAGCTCAGAGCAGATGGATTCTAGGAAATAAATGCTACCTAAATCATCTGCCCTTACTCAAGATAGCCGCAACCAGAAATGACAGGGAAGTGTTTTTCAAAGTGATTTCTTAGCAAAATAAAGTGTGGAGACATTGATGGATAGACATGTTTGCTTTGAATATTAAAAACAAATTAAATTGTGTTTTTGGCTGAATGACTCCTACAGCACAGTTGTCCTCCCAGAATGCGCCCCCCAGCGTGCACCTGGCACTGTCAGTGATCGCTATGGACACAGCTGATTACATGATTAACCACTAGCCTACATGGCACTTATACCCCCTTCCTGCCCAGGCCAATTTCCAGCTTTCAGCGCTGTTGCACTTTGAATGACAATTGCACAGTCATGCGACGCTGTACCCATATGACATTTTTATCCTTTTTTTGTGACAGATAGAGCTTTATTTTGGTGGTATTTATTCACCTCTGGGTTTTTTATTTTTTCTTAAACAAACCAAAAACCACTGAAAATTTTGAAAAAAAAAATTTTTTTTCTTAGTTTTTGTTATAAAATTTTGTAAATAAGTGATTTTTCTCCTTCACTGATGTGCGCTAATGAGGCTGCACTGATGGACACTGATATGTGGCACTGATGAGGAGGCACTGGTAGGTGGCCCTGATGGGCATTGACAGGTATCACTGATGGGTACTGACAGGCAGCACTCATAGGTGACACTGATAGGCGGCACTGTTAGGTGGCACTGATAGGCAGCGCTGATGGGCACTGATAGGCGGCACTGAAGCACACTGATAGGCGGCACTGATTGGCAGCACTGACTGGCATTGATAGGTGGCACTGATGGGTGACACTGAAAGGCAGCTCAGATGGGCACTGATATGTGGCATTGATATGTGGCACTGGCAGCTGGCATGGATAAGCACTGAGAGCTGGCACTGATGGACACTGACAGGTGGCACTGCTGGGGCTACACAGATCATCAGGGCACACTGATCATCAGTGCCCTGATGATCAGTGTACATATCCCCTCTGAGGAATGCCGATTACCGGCTCTCCTCTCCTCACGAGCTGTCAGCGTGACAGCTCGTGGGGAGAGAAATGCCGATAACCGGCATTTCCCTGTTTAAATGTGATCAGCTGTGATTGGACACAGCTGATCAGATGACCGCGCCGACATCTTCGGCTCTTTCCGTGGATCGGTGATCTGCTGTGTCTGAGGGACACAGCGCACCGCCGAATGCCGCGTGCTACCGGAGCCGCGCATGCGCAGTTGGAATGGGAGGACATCATATGACGTCCTCCCAGAACGAGAGAACTGCCTTGCGCCCATCATATTACTATATGGCGGGCGGGAGGCGGTTAAGTAAAAGGCCACTCACAGCGGCCTTTTACCATGTGATCAGCTATGTCCAATAACACAGCAGTTCACAAAGTAAATACAGTTGCCAATTATCAGCAGCACTTTCCTAATGCTGTCACAGTATGAGAAAAGTACTGCTGATAACCGGCAAATGTCACAGAGGACAATCGCACTGATAAACAGGGTACTGATGATCAGTGCCCTGATGATCAGTGCCGCCCATCAGTGCTGTCAGTCAATGCCGCTAGTCAGTGCAACCCATCATTGCCCGTAAGTGCCTCCTATCAGTGCCCATCGGTGCTGCCTGTCAGTGTCCATCAATGCTGCATATCAGTGTTGCATCTTCAATGCCTCATCAATGCCCAGTTGTGCCGCCCCATCAGTGCCACCTATCAGTGCCCATCAGTGCTGCCTATCTGTGCCACCTCATCAGTGCTGCCTACCAGTGCCGCCTATCCGATCAGCCTCATCAATGCCCATCAGTGGGGGAAAATTAACTGTTTGCAAAAAATTTTTGTTTATAGTGCAAAAAATAAAAACTCCAGTGGTGATTAAATACCACCAAAAGAAAGCTCTATTTGTGTAAAAAAATGATAAAAATGTAATGAATACAATGTTGCATGACTGCGCAATAGTCAAAGTGCAACAGCACTGAAAGCTGAAAATTGGCCTGGGCACGAAGGGGGTAAAAGTGCTCGGTAGGCAAGTGGTCAATATTCAAAACAAACTCCCCCATCCATCCATGTCTCCATGCTCTTTTATGCTGAGAAATAATTTTGAAAAACATCCCATTGCATTTCTCGCAGTGGCCATGCTGAGTAAGGGCAGATGATGTAACATTTTTTTTTTTTGATAGGTACTTATATAGCGACATCAATTTATGCAGAGCTTTACATACTCATATTGTACATTCAAATCAGTCCCTAACCCTCAAGGGGTGTACACTTCCTGGAATCCATCTGCCCTTAGCTCTGGTATTGGCTGAACTGAGAACTCTACCTCCCCTCCTAAAGACTGCTGGGATGTATATTATTTGCCTAGGCATGGCAACCAGGAAGTAACTGAAGAAACGTAAAAAAAAAAAAAAAGGTTGAAACAAGTAAATATGATATACTTTCATATTTACTAATGCTAGCAGCATAAGTATAAAAAATAGTCCATGCTGATTGAGAGAGTGAAGTTCAGCTTCAGATTGTTGCTAAAAGTTGTGTATTTTACTTATTTAGATAAAATGATACTGTAGAAGGAAACACGACCTAACGCCACATGGTGGCGCTGCAGCAAAAGTAGCCTACCCCGTCGCTCATTGAAAGTTTCCTAAACTCTACAGCGTCGGGAGGCTGCGTGCGCGCTCTCGTGTGACTTGCAGTAAGAGGTGCCCTCCTCACCGCAAGGGGTCGCTACTGTCACAACAGCGCTCTCTCAGATCTATTAACCCGGAGAGTGAAGGGTGCCCGTCTCTACATCCGGCTCCCCAGTTCACGTCTTCTTCGGACTTGTGTATGTGACGACGTCACCCCGGGGGCGCGACACCAGAATCCTGTGTGTGCAGATTGGAAGAAGCCTAGGCGGCCGGCCGAGGCTGAGAGCTCCGCTGGAGTCCCGCGGCCGCAGCCAGCAGTGGAGCAGCTCTCTCGGCGGCAGAGGCATTCGAGGTACCGGGAGCGCAGCACACCCAGCCCTCCCCGCGCTCCCGCCTCAGGCTCGTCACACCTGGGAAAAGTTTCCGGGAGCGCGCACGGAGGAGAGCGGGACATGTAGAGGGGCGGAAGCTGGGAGCAGCCCCCCATGTGGTGAAGGAAGTTCACAGTTACAGAGAGAGTGTGAGAAGAGAGGGGCGGTACTGGCTATTCTTAACTTCAACTCCCCACCTGCTGCTCCCACACCCAGTGCGCTGTCTAGTCAGGAGGCTTCCCTTCCCTGGAATTCCATGTGGATATCACTGCCATCAGCATCTTCTCCTCTGCCTCTGGGGCCTGGACCTATGGGGGCATCCCATGCTGCCTGAGCTCTCCTCCTGCTGCTGTACCCACTTCAGAATCACAGTGGAGGGAGCCCTTTTCCTGATGTTTTATGCCAGCTGGTAATGTGCGATCCCAAACCAACACACCCCCTTCCTATTTATATTGGGGGAACTTGTGGCCTGAGGGGTGTTGTGAATCCTTGCAAAAGATAAGGTCTACTGTGAAGCATGGAAGGACTGTCCCTGAGTGATGCTGAGCAAAAATACTACTCTGATCTGTTTGCCTACTGTGACACTGACAGCACCAAGAAAGTGGCATCCAATGGGCGGGTGTTGGAGCTTTTCAGGGCAGCACAGCTCCCTAGTGAGGTGTCTTTGCAGGTAAACAAAAATCATGTAAACAGTTATATTTTCAGGCTTCTGATGGCATCTTTTAAGTCCTGTCTCTTTAGCCGTTTTGGATCCAGCGGTGATGGGTTAGAACTTCTGTCAAGTGTTTATTGCTGTTTATCACTCCACTTCTGTCACATTTGCTCTGTGGCACAAGGGCTGTTAGTGAGGAAAATGGAGGCTATTAGGACTAGAAGTGAAGGGAGTAGTGACCACCAGTACTAGAAGTGAGGGGAGTAGTGACCACCAGTACTAGAAGTGAGGGGAGTAGTGACCACCAGTACTAGAAGTGAGGGGAGTAGTGACCACCAGTACTAGAAGTGAGGGGAGTAGTGACCACCAGTACTAGAAGTGAGGGGAGTAGTGACCACCAGTACTAGAAGTGAGGGGAGTAGTGACCACCAGTACTAGAAGTGAGGGGAGTAGTGACCACCAGTACTAGAAGTGAGGGGAGTAGTGACCACCAGTACTAGAAGTGAGGGGAGTAGTGACCACCAGTACAAGAAGTGAGGGGAGTAGTGACCACCAGTACAAGAAGTGAGGGGAGTAGTGACCACCAGTACAAGAAGTGAGGGGAGTAGTGACCACCAGTACTAGAAGTGAGGGGAGTAGTGACCACCAGTACTAGAAGTGAGGGGAGTAGTGACCACCAGGACTAGAAGTGAGGGGAATGGCAGCCACCAGGACTAGACGTGAGGGGATATAGTGACCACCAGTACAAGAAGTGAGGGGAATGGCATTCACAAGGCCAGGACTGGGGGGGGGGGGGGGGGGAAGGTGGCCGCCAGGACTAGGCGTGGGGGGGGGGGGGGGGGGAACGGCAGACACCAAGGTTAGTATGGAGGTGAATGGTGGCCACCTGGGCTAAGCAATATAAATTGGTTTGACTCTTTTCACCCTCACTAAAAGAAAGTGTTTTGTGTCTGTTTCTCTGTCCCTAGAGGGATCAAAGCAGTGACAGAGATGATAAACTTTACCCACCGTATCCAAAACAAAAGAATGTTTCCTAATGTCTGATCAGCAGGTAGCTGTTTCATGAGCCACCCAGATGATTACAATTCTTGCCCAGTGTGACAGAAAATGGTCAGGAGTCAATGAGTACCCCAAATAAACTTGTGATGATTAACTAGCTGCCCCTGACATCCCCAGTGACACCAATTCAGTGCTAATAAAAAGAACTGAAACTGTGCTAATGACACTGGGCAAGAAAGGTATAACTTTTCTGGGCTGATCATAGGGTTAACTGTGTGCTGTGTCACTGTCTGTGTGCTCCACACTGTAAGCACACTGCTTTGTAAAGCCATACAAAGCAGTGTGCTGGAACTGACAGGAGACATCTGTATTGTTTACATACAGGTCTCTCCCCCATCCGTGATGCACGGTGATTGCCGTGTGCCGACTGGGAATCATTGGGCGGGATCCGGTGATTGACAGCCGGGCTGCCAATGGCGGCGTGGGTAGAGCTCATACCCCCTACCTGGAAATGCAAAATCACGTGTATATATACGTGAATTTGTGCACCCCTGCCGCCCTGTAGCAGTATTTCTCCTATGGGGCAGCGAGAAAGCAGTTAAGCAGTGTTTTAGGCAGCGTAAAAACGTGCCTAAAGTGCCTTACACGCATCTGGGCGTTCATTCCTTTTGCCAGAATATTCGCTTATTTTCGCCATTGGAATGAATGAGTGTTCAATCGCAAAACGCACCTAGTGCTTAAAGCGACATTAAAGCTTCCTTTTTTTTTTATTATTATAATAACAAACATGGTACTTACCTGCTCTGTTCAATAGTTTTGCACAGAGCAGCCCTGGTTCTTTTTTTTTTTTTTTTTTTTTTTTTTGAGCTCAGGGCTCCTTCTCTTTGGCGAGTGCCCCCATGGAAAGCCACTTTCCATGGAGGCACCCATGCAGGCTCACTCCTGAGCTGCCCTCTCTGCGTTCACTGACACAAAGCAGGTGGCTTGGTTGGCAGCAGCAGGAGCTATTCAGTCAATCGCATGAATCTGTCCAGGAAGGAGGGAGACAGTGGCAGGAGTGACTGCTATTATGCACATGGATTATGCTGGAACAAATAGGGCTCAGATAAGTATAAGGGGGGGCTGGGGGTGGAGTCTTGCAGCACACAAAGTTTTTCACCTTGTTGAATAGACTGCATTAAGGTGAAAAACCTTAAGGCTTTAGAACCACTTTAAGCACGTTTAGGGACATTGGGCATGTTTTTTGCTGCAAAATGTTCCTCTCCTGAACGGCTTGTCACAGTGGGGGTTTTTTTTCCTGCCTGTAAAGACCTATATTAGAGTGATCATCTGCTTCCACAGTAGTTCCACAGGTATGGATTATTCATATTGACATTGATCCAAGCTGGAATAAAATATACTGTATACCTGGAGTTTAGCTTTAACAAATTTGAAAATCCTTTATAGGGAAAACCTATAGCCATGTATGCATTTCAACTGTATGTTCAGCTCTTTGTCAGGAGTTCCATTTAACACCATTACGTTTTTAACTGTGACCGACAAATAGTACCCTAAATTTATTTTATATACTTCTATAGCACCGTCAATTTACACAGTGCTTTACATACATATATATTGTACAATCTAAAGTCCCTAACTTACATTCATACATACACATATTAGGGCCAATTTAGACAGGAGCCAATTAACCTACCAGCATGTCTCTGAAGTGTGGGAGGAAACCCATGCAGTCACAGGGAGAACATGTAAACTCTAGGCAGGTGTTGCCGTGGTTGGGATTTGAACCAGCAACCCCAGTACTGCCAGGCGGAAGTGCTAACCATTTAGCCACTGTGCTGCTCATGAATATTGGTTGTTATTCCTTGTGGACAGGATTTACAAAGTGCAAATCCAAGACTGTTTCACAGTATGGTAGCCCTTTCACTGTTATGCGTATGCATTATGTGTTTGTGAAGTTGATCACATGTTTTTACATAAATATACTATACATATGCTATAGACACACATTGAAATTGATCATTAAAATTTTATGAAGCTTTTCAGAAAGGTTTGTTTTACGGTAAGTTGCAATAGCAAGGTATTTAATTGTCAATTGCAAAATGGCTTTCTTAGCAATTATGTTCTTGCAATTTCTATTTAAACTAGAGTATTATTGAAAAGGTAAGTATACCTTGAAGTAGAATGTACTTACTCTTCCTTTTTCCCTCAGCTTACATAGATACCAAGTTCTTAGATTTTTCACACTGCAGTTCTTCTGCCAGTTGGGACTTTCTTTCAATCCCCCAATAATTCTATGGGACTTTTTCTGAAGTCTCCTGCCTCTAGAAGTTACTACTAGAAGAACTACTGCACCTATGTGAAGATAAATGTTGGGGCAGACTGTGGCTGGAAAAACTGTAAATCGCAATTTTTTTGGAAACTGTTAAATCATTGGGTTCAGTTGCTCTTTACAGGGAACCTGAAAATGTTAATTTCCTGTTTGTGCCTGACTTCATTATTCTGTGTCCATTATCCAGCACATGTACACTATATTGCCAAAAGTATTGGGACACCCTTCCAAATCTTTGGATTCAGGCGTTCCAATCACTTCCATGGCCACAGGTGTCTACAATCAAGCACTTAGGCATGCAGGCTGCTTCTACAAACATTTGTGAAAGAATGGGTCGCTCTCAGGAGCTCAGTATATTCAAGCGTGGTACTGTGATAGGTTGTCACCTGTGCAATAAGTCCATCCATGAAATTTCCTTGCTACTAAATATTCCACAGTCAACTGTTAGTGGTATTATAACAAAGTGGAAGCAACTGGGAACAACAGCAACTCAGCAATGACGTGGTACGCCATGTAAAATGACAGCGCTAATTCAGCGCACTGTGTGCAGAGTCAATGTCTGCAAAGTCGCCAGCTGTCTGCAGAGTCAATAGCTAAACACCTCCAAATTTCTTGTGGCCTTTAGATCGGCACACCAGTGAGTAGAGAGCTTCATGGAATGGGTTTCCATGGCCAAGCAGCTGCATCCAAGCCTTACATCACCAAGTACAATGCAAAATGTCGGATGCAGTGGTGTAAAGCACACCGCCACTGGAATCTAGAGCAGTGGAGACGTGTTCTCTGGAGTGACAAATCACGCTTCTCTGTCTGGCAGTCCAATGGACGTGTCTGTTTGGCGGTTGCCAGGAGAACGGTACTTGCCTGACTGCATTGTGCCAAGTGTAAAGTTTGGTGGAGGGAGGATTATGGCGTGGAGTTGGACAAAGATGAGTGAGTTTGGGATGGAGGAACTTGATTGGCCTGCACAGAGTCCTGACCTCAACCACAGAGTCCTGACCTCAACCCAATAGGACACTTTTGGGATGAATTAGAATGGAGACTATGAGCCAGGCCTTCTCGTCCGACATCAGGGCCTGACCTCATAAATTCACTTCTGGAAAAATGGTCAAACATTCCCATAGACACACTCCTAATTCTTGTGGACAGCCTTCCCAGAAGAGTTAAGCTGTTATAACTGCAAAGGGTGGGCCATCTCAATACTAAACCCTACGGACTAAGACTGGGGTGCCATTAAAGTTCATGTGCGTGTAAAGGCAGGCCTCCCAATACTTTTGACAATATACTGTATGTAGCTAGTGTATTAGAGTCAGATTTGATGGGCATATTTGTTCCTAGTCATTGACTCAGAACTGAAGCTATTCAATCACCATAACTGCTAAAAAGAACTACAGTTTTCAGAAAAAGAGGTCATCAGTGGCAGCCTTGGTTTTCTTTCAAGCCTGTGTTTATATCTCTGCATATTCGTGCATTAAAAAAAATGTAGAGATGTGAATGCAGCCTTAAGCCCTACCCTGGTCAAAACGTGTTGGGTTTTTTTTTTTTTTTTTGGCATAGAGTGGGAAAGAAAACATCTGTCAGTTTTGCCATCTGTGTCCCTTTTTAGGATCATTCCCCCCCATGTGATATTTCACTAAAGAGGGATAGAGGCATCAACAAGGACACAGTAAAAACCTTAAAGTGGTATTAAACCAAAAATTGTAATACATTGCAGCTTACCAGTCCTTACATGTACTGTAGTGGTTGCATTAGTTTTCATCTTTTTTTTTTTTTTTTTTTTTCTTTTCCTTAGGCTTTCCACCTCTGTTTTCACCTGGTGATCTGGCTAGGAAACACACTTTATTGGAGTGCCTCCACTTTGGCTGAAGGGGCACAGGGAGCACCTTTGGACAAAAGCATGTTTAATCTGGGGGAAGGGGCGTGTTAGATGTACTAACTTATTTAAATACACTACAAATGGAAGCTAACACTTTGAGTAGTTACAACAAACCGCTATTTTCCCTATTGGGATAAAGGTTTTACGTAAATACAGTTTATAAAACTGATCATTATAAGTACCCCTGTCAGTATTAAATGGTTTGCCTCATCCTTGTAACTGATAAATCTGCAGGGCAGATTGTTGATTTTGAAAGACTGCAGACTTACTGACACAATCACCAGGTGAAAATAAAAAAACGCCTGAAAAAGAAAGCAAATGCAGCCACCGCATCTAAGAATTGGTAGACTGCAATATGCGTTTGCTTTTGGGTTTAATAATGCTGTAAAGTATGTTTGTAAGCCTGTCCTATGCAAAGCTAAAATTAAAAAATAACTTTTGGCTGGACTTGGGTGTAGGATTCATTTTTAGAACTGGCTTGTTTTTCAGCTTGACTCTTTACACTTGACTCCTACACATTTTATAAAGGGCACAGCTTCCATTTATGGCTTTATCTATTTTTGCACAAGTATTTTCTGTTTTCACTGTAAGTTAATGATTGAAGAGTTTTATGCTTCTAATATAAGCTACCAAATGTAGCATTGACTACTGTTCTAGTGTTTCCTCAACTGCAGTCTTGGGCTGCTTTCACACTGATCCGTCTTTGCATTAAAAAAAGTGAAAGAAAACGCATGACCATGAAATCCTATGGAATACTTCACTCAAGTATTCACTCCTACTTCACTCCTTCAATCCTGCTTGCTGCATGTTTGGTGCAGTTAAAAAAACTGCACCAAAAATGCATCTCCCCATTTAAATGAATACAAAGGCATAAAAAAAAAACGAGTTAAAAATGCACACATGGTTGTGTTTTTGGTGCGTTTTTTTTAGTTACATGTCCTTTCTTCACAGGTGCAAAAAAAAAAAAAAAACCCATATGTTTTTGCACTGGAGCAGTGGGAAAGTAGCCTAATAATAATATTCTGCTGTGTTTGTGTGTAATGAGTCTACAAACATGACATTTATTGCATATCATAAAACTAGCTAGACAGCTGTGTTAATATAATAACTAGATATAAATACAGTGGGCATAGAAATCCCCTTTAAAATCATACGTTGTTGCTTTGCCACCTGAAATGAAGACATGGTTTTGTTTTTTTTTTAATCCAAGTGTATTTACTCAGTATGACATTCAGTGCCTTGAAAAAGTATTCACAAAATGTTCCACATTTTGTCATGTTACAACCAAAAACATAAATGTATTTTATTGGGATTTTATGCACTAGACCTGAAGTGGAAGGAAGGAAAAAGATAAATGTTTTTTAAAATTTGTTACAAATATTTGAAAAGTGTGGGGTGTATTTGCATTCAGCCCCACCGAGTCAATACTTTGTAGAACCACCTTTCGCTGTAATTACAGTTGCAAGTCTTTTTGGGTATGTCTCTACCAGTTTTGCATATGTAGAGAGTGAATTTTTGCTCATTCTTCTTTGCAAAATGGCTCAATCTCTGTCAGATTTAATAGAGAGTGGCTGTGAACAGCAATTTTCAAGTCTGGCCACAGATTCTCAATTGGATTTAGGTTTGGACTATGACTGGGCCATTCTAACACATGAACATGCTGTGACTTAAACCATTCCATTGTAGCTCTGGCTGTATGTTTAGGGTCGTTGTCCTGCTGGAAGGTGAACCTCCACCCCAGTCTCAAGTCTTTTGCAGACTCCAACAGGTTTTCTTCTAAGATTGCCCTGTACTTGGCTCCATCCATCTTCCCATCAACTCTGACCAGCTTACCTGTCCCTGCTGCAGAAAAGCGTCACCACAGCATGATGCTGCCACCACGTTTCATGTTTTGCGTGCACACCTCCCTACCCGCGCGCCCATTGGCGGCTAGGCATGCCAATCACTGGGTCCCAGCGGAGTTTCCCTGCTGGCCCGGCGATCGCTGTGCAAATTGGACAGGGGAGAGACCTGTGTGTAAACCGCCATTACTAGTATAAAAAAATAAAAATCCCAGTGTATATGTGTAGACACTATCACTTTCACGTAAACCAATCAATGTACGCATATTGGGATTTTTTTTTATAGCAAAGACATGAAGCAGAATACATTTTGGCCTACATTTATGATGAAATTTTGATTTATTTTTTATTTATTGGACATGTTTAATACAAAAAGTCAAAAAATTGTATTTTGTGTTTTTTTTTTTTTTTTTTTGTTTTTCCAAAATTGTGGGGTTTTTTATAACACAAAATAAACACAGAGGTGATCAAATACCAAAGCCAAAACTATTTGTGGGAAAATGTAATTTATGTACAGCGTTGCATGACTGTACAATTGTCGGTTAAAGTAACACAGCGCCGTATCGCACAAAATGGCCTGGTCAGAAAGGGGGGTAAATCCTCTGGAGGGCAAGTGGTTAATTGTTTCAGCCCTATACCAGTCAAATCTGTGTGTAATGAGAAAAAGGAACTCTTTATGTAGCTGATATTTTAACTCATCCATTCATAATGGAGACTGAGTAAAGGCAGTGAAATACAAATCTTCAAATTTGTATACATGCTGTACAGTAACATTAAAGCATATACAGATCTGACATTTTACTACAGCAAGCATGTAAAAATGTATGTTGCATAAAATTACTGTAAAATACACATTACAATAACCTTCATGCTGATTTTTTTTTTTTTTTTTTTTTCCCCCATCCAAGTTCATGAGCTATATATTGATTTATGTGTTTTCTCAAATGTCTGAGTAACATTTCCATTATGATGTCACTTAGAATCAAAATATCCCTGGCTAAAACAAATTTGTCATTAATAATGGGCAAGGATTGTATGAGTACATCAGTTAAACATATCTTCTTAGGTGGAGTGACGCTAAGGCATATGAACTGGTGAAACTTGCCTGGTTGCTTTTAGTAGCGCTGTTTATAGCATAGTAGCTATCATGACTAATAGCATAAATTATTGGTTGTTAATCCTGGTAGGTACATTAAATGTGTAATCACATTCTAAAGACTACAAACACAGTAATGTAGAACAAAAGTTTATATTTATTCTCTTTCTTTTATATAGTTGACACTGATGAGAGACCTCAAATTCCTGGACTTTTTTTCTCTTCTGATAAGAGCTTCTTTGTGTGCCCCCACCACCAGTTAATCTCCTACCCTTCAGGTTGTGTAGCTAGAGCGGTTGGAAACTGGTAACTCTGGTGCAATAGGAGCATTCAGGAAAGAGTCCCACTTGAGTTGAGAAGTTAAGCAGCCACTCTCACCTTGGACTTTATGGAAGAGAAGTGCCAGTAAATTAACATCTGATTGGGTGTCCTCTGTCAGGAAGCTAAGAGAGGTCAGTCCACCCAAAAGTCATCTTTGAGGTAAAGATGGAGTCTGGTGGACCACATTACATTTTTTTTTTTCTCACACTATAATCATGCTATTATGGAGTTTTGGGTGTTTGCATTCCTGTTGTCTTCTATATTACACTTACCAGACACTTTATTAGGTACACATGTTCAATTGCTTGGTAACACAAATTGCTAATCAGCCAGTCACATAGCAGCAACTCGGTGCATCTAGACATGGTGAAGACGACTTTCTAAAGTTCAAACCTTGCATCAGAATGGGGAAGAAAAAGGGGATTTAAGTGACTTTGAACGTGACATGGTTGCTGGTGCCATCTGTAGGGCTTACAGAGAATGGTCCAAAAAAGAGAGAATATCCAGTGAGCTGCAGTTGTGTTGAAGAAAGAATGGGCATTCAGTTTAAGTTGCGACATTCAGATGGTAGGGTCCAGAATTTGGCATAAACAACATGAAAG